TACGTTCACACTGCAGGCCTTAATGCTCAGTTTTTTTTGCGTTGCCGTTCACATTTCCAAATATATTTGACTTCTTTGTGATCTCCTGTGTGAACTGCAGTCATACAATGCAATTGTCCCACCGCATGCGCAGTAGAGGACGCAATGACATCACAGGCCAGCATGCTCTGTGTTTACAGAAGTAAACATGGATGGTAGTACCGGAGCGCATCTAGCGATCTTTCCCAACCATAAAAACACAATCTTTTCTAGATGGTTAAACATAAATACTGCTCTCTGCATCATCATCTGCCATGGTTGTTGTTTTTCATGCTGCTCCTTTATAGCAAGACCCAGAATAATAACCTTTGTCGGGTATTTTTGGCGTTGAAGTTGGATTAATGCGATCTGGCCGTCCAGACAGGTCACATTTGAAAAGATCAGATTTGTATCGGATTGAGGACCAGATAGCCAAGTGGCCTGGGTCGCATTGGAAAAAATCGGATCAGTGTTGTTCAGACAGCCATGAAAAGATCAGGTCCAGGTCGCATATGGGCCAAAAATCGGATTTGGTTCACTTCAGGCTGCAGTGTGAACATAGACTGTCTATTTTTTGCCGGAAACTATTAACCTCCCACACCAGCTCAGGTGCTTTCCCCTCCAGAGAGTTGACAATCCACGTCCTAATAGACAGCTTCCAGGGATCAGACCGCCATGGTTCTTGCCCTTTAGTGCCATTTGTAGTATATTTAAAACATGGAAAATTATAGCCATTTCTAATACTGGGTGATTAATCAATTATTATGCTAATTAATTAATAACTATGACCAAATAGTAATTTTTACAACTTGACATCTGGCAGAAATGGAAACACTACACCAACAATGAACCGGCTCCAATCAATTATTGATTGTTGATGTGCAGCATTATTTATGAATTTTATCTTTTCTTCTAGACAACAGGATTTCTTTACATTTGTTTCTATATCTATAGTTTATGAATCAACATATAGATGTCAGCTAGCATCATAAATAAAATAAAGATTTGTTTAAAAAAAGGAATAAGTGACGTTTATCTCTTCCAATCCATCATTATTTTGTGGAACTTCTAGTGATAATGAAATAAAATTATCACCCGAATACAGTATTGAACTTATTATGCTGTTTTGTGTTTTTTTAGAGCAAAAGGAAATAATCATCCTACTTACCAGCTGTGGTTCTTTGCTTGTCAAGCAATCCTGTCATTGTCAAATAAGACCAACAATTAATGTCATATATTATAAAAAGTGGTTTTATTTTATCATTAATAATTTCTATTGCAACTATAAAGGAATGAAGCCTGAAGCTTCTTTAAAAATTCTAGATTCATGAAATGCTGAAAGTCAGCATTTGTTCTCTTATATGTTAGACAGCAGATAAACTGACTTACCTTCTCCAGCCTCAACATCACCGTCATCTAGGTCAGAGATAAAGGTGATGTTTAGTTGTAGATCAGCACTGATACTAATGTTCTATTTTCAACCATCTAGTAATCAGTATTTACAGGAAAAATGAACAGACTATATTTAATAAAAAAAACACTGAGATCTGCTTTAAACTTAATCTCCAGACCTTCCTCTCTGACCTGTCTGCAGGTTGTTCTCTGAGGTTCTCTAACAAATCTCTGAGGCCTTCATCACATGGCTGGATTAATAGAGTTTTAAATTATTTTTAACTTTTAGCTTTTAAAGGAGCTGGTTGTAAACCACTTTTTTAGGTATATTGGAGAAAACAGAACTGAATATGATGACATACCAAACTTTTCAGGTTTTCCTCCCACTCTGCTTTGCTCTGTTATAAAAAGAGATATTTACAAACACTCGACAAAGACATGTAATCACAGTTTAACATAATCTCAGACTCAACCTTCCTGCTTAATTTCAGGATTATTTAAAGTCTTTCCAATTTGCTACATAAAAGTAAAGCTAGATTCAGAAGTTTACATCTAGTAGGATTATTAAAACTTTTAAAAAAAATCAGTAAAGCCTGGAGGATAATGATGATGATGATGATATCACAGGAAAAAAAAAAACGAAGAAAAAACAAGAAAACAGACCAGGATGAACATTTTGGACATCCACAAATCTGATTCTTCCTGGGGTACAGGAAGAATGTGCAGGAGGTCAAAGAAAAATTAAATATGTTTCCCAATGCTGTAAACATTTGTATAATACATAAAATTAAACAATAATTAGCATCATAGCCATAGAGATCAATGGTTATAACTTGCAACCAGCGTGGCCACGGTGCCAGGCAAACAAAGTGGTGGGTGTGTCTCGGACCATGGATCCCAAAGGGGAAAAGAAGGAAGATGGCTAATGAGAAAAGAGGAATCAAAGAATGGAGTGAATCATTTGCTTTTATTATCAATGCGGAAGGATTGTCTGCATTTTTGCTTTTAATAAAAGGCTGGCAAAAAATAAAAAGAAAAATTTGGAAAGGCATTTCCAGGGAAGGCTGCTAAATATGCAGCCGACCACCAAGCTGGGAGGAAGAGAAAACGTGTGATTACAGAACTTCTGGATAAATTAGAGGAGTGCAAAGATAGATTTAAGAAGTGGATTGCATCTCCAAACTCCACTACTTCTGCTAGTTTGGTTGCAAGCATAGAAAACCGTTCATAGATACAACAGGTTGCACTATGATGCAGGGATGGGAACTTTCTTCCATTTTTTCCTCAAAAAAGAAATCACACCAAGGAATGCTGGTGAAGAAGGATGTGGGATTTATTAGTTAGAGAGCTCTGCTCTGATGGATGTCAGTTCCTGCTCGGTTCCTAATGACTCAATCAACTCCTCCCAACAGAAACAAGTTCACCATAGAAAGATTCCTTTATTGTGTTTCTATAATTTCATCAATGCAACAAAAGCCTAAAACACGGGTTGAAGGGTGGTGAAGCGGTGTGCGCTAAGAGCGTTCACTGCTCCTCCCTCACCTCATGCTGCTATGTGACATTTGCTCCAAGACAAACATTTAATCATGAATGCTTATTATATATTTAAGCCCACATAGTCCTTTTCTATAGTGGTCTAATACACTTAGAGCCCATGTTTTTTGTTATCAAAAAAATAAAGATTTTTTTAAAGTAAATGCTAAATATTTCTGAGAACAATATTTCACTTACTGGATGGTTTCTCTTTATTTAAACCGCCCATATAAAAAATACATATGTTACAGTTTCAAGATTTACAGATTATTTAGTAACTTACCATTTGTTCTCAACCTTTGGAAATATCCTGCAATAAAAATAAAGACATTAGTGATAGATAATCCATGTCTGTAGAACAGTTCAGGTTTAACCTTAATGGTGAGGACATCTTACCCAGGAAGTTCTGTTCAACTTCCTGGGTAAGATGTCCTCACCACTTACACAAACTTAAACCTGATCATTGAAACTTATAAATAGGCTGTTTATATACCAAACCTCCTAAAAACACCTCAACTCAATAACAGGTTAATAAAAAATTTGATGAATTTGAGTTTTCTCACCTTTCTTGTACATAACAAAGGAAGCAACTCCAATCCCAGCTACAATCAGCAGAACAATCACAACCGGTACAGCTGCTGTTGATCCAGAACTCTCTGAAATAAAAGAGTAAAAGGAGGCTGATGAGAAGGTGGAAACATTAGACATTAAAGAGGAAGATAACCGTAAACATGCCTGGTTTAGATCTAAGCATAGTGATGTGTTGGAATGGCCTAGTCAAAGTCTAGACCAGATGTAAAGCTGGAATAGATGCCCAAAAAATAAGCTATATAGATGTGTTTTTTATAATTTGTGTTTGTAAACTTTTTTTTAAAACCATGTACAATTTTATTTCCATTTCTCCACTATTGGCATCGTCCATTGTGGAGAACCCTCCGACGTAGCCCGACGGTGGGTTAACATCTTTCTACTCATTTCTCATTGCACATTTTTTTGATTATCTTAGATATTTAAGTAGATGAAAAGAAAAAAAAATCGACAACAGAAAATAAGGCTGGTTACATACTTAATAAGAAGTTGCTTGTTTTGGTTGCAATCTTTTTCTCCCAGCATGTCTAGGAACAGTTGTGTGATTGATCAGGATTTGGATGGATGTTGTTAAGCAAGAAAAGTTTAGATGATTTCCCCCTCTTGTTTTTCAATCAAAACACCTAAGTTTTGAGGATCGGCTGACAAAGGCAGTGAGGAAATTTGTGCATTTGTCTGTTACACCATCTAAGTTAAATAAAGCATTTATATGAGGCTTTCCTCCTCATTAATCTTGCTTCCTCTGTCATTATTTAGCTGTTGTGTTTCTTTTGCAGGTGTAACATAAGCTACAGTGGATGGGACTTCCTATAAGTTAAGCAGTTATACTTTGTGGGAAGCAGGAATACTCAGAGGTAAAACAAACAATTTTCTATTTCTTGCCATCTTGAGGAAAAAAAATGTTTTTGTCTCTTATTGAGTATGAAAATAAAATCTAAGGTCAGTACATTTTAACATCAATGTATCACAGATAATCCCTAAATGAAGTTGGTGTTTGTTTGACTGAAGGTGGAAAACATAAATAAAGCATATGTAGATGGGAATGTTTTCCTCTCACCACTGATAAAGGGGTTTTCCACTGTTTCACTGGAGCTGCTGCTGACAGGGTTTACCAACTCACAGAAAAAGGAGCTTTCCTTATTCTCCTGAGAAATAAATAGAAAACAGCTCTAAACCAAACCATGAAGGTTCTACTGAGTTCTTCCAGGGTTTCTCATCCTCATACCGTTGTTATCAGCAGCTCCTTGTCGGTGGACAACTCTGTGTCACCTGTTTTCCATTTATACGTCACAGGTCCAAAGCCAGCACTGACTTGGGCTTCACAGGTCAGACTACAGCTGGTCTTTTCCTCATTGCACTTTATGGAAACTGTGGGTATTCGGACCGGTTCTGACAGAAACAGGAACAGATTATCTCAACTTGATTCAATTTCAAACCTAACAAACCTCAGTCAAACCTGCTGAACTCACTGATAACCTGGAGTTCCTTCTTCTCCAGAACTTTATTGTTGATCTCAACTGTGTAGCTGCCGCTGTCCTCTAGAGTCAGACTGTTGATGGTCAAACTTCCACTTCTTTTATCAAAGCCACAGCGACCTGGAAGCAGGATCCAGATAAAGACATCACGGATGATGTTAATCTGCAGGTTCTTGGGTTCTAAAACCTTTTCTTGTAAACAGTTCAGCTGACCTTCAAAAGTTCTATGACAAATAATTTCCTGCCCAAACCAGTCCACGGCGAGGTCCGTGTTGTGCTTCCATGTTGCTGACTTGATGGTCTCTGAAATCTGAGCTGGATTCAGAACAATGGAGCCACCAACTTTTCCATAGATCAGAGCAGCTGTGAATGAAAAAGGACATTTTTAATCCTTCATGTGAACTTTTTCTTTCTGAGCAGCTTTAGCCTTTTCTATCATAGATGTTAAGATCTACCTCAGTTTGAAGTTTTTCTCCACACTGATAAACAAAGAGAGGTCTACAGATATCACCATAATAACAGAAATGATAATAACAGAAGATATGTGGATTTGTTTTACATTTCTTAAATTAAAGTAGAGATAAAGATTAAATCAATACATCATATAAACTCAAATTATTTCAGCTTAATCTGTCAATTGCTTGATTAAAAAAGTCTTATAATGGGGTTTAAATCGATTCAACGACTTTATATCTTCATTTTAGAATCCATTTTAAAATCACTTCTAAAGTAATCATCTAATTTGGCCACCTTTAGTATAAACTACTGATTAACAGCTTTAATAGAATATAAGTAGGTTGGGGTTAACTTTGCTGAAATTCACTGCCCCTCCTGATGTTTTAAAAATAATTATTTTGAATAATGGTATTCATGACTTTTAGACCACTAGAAAAGGTCAAGAACCAATTCATTATTTTATTAAAGTTTGTAAATTAGGGAAGGAGCTTTTTCAGACAAGCTTCCTATTTTGGTTCCAGATACTTTCATACTTAATATGAATTTAAAAAAGGTCAGATCTGAAAAACTTTGTAGGATCTATATGTCTAAACATGAAATAACAGAATGAACCCGATAAACAGTGGGGAGCCAAATTTTTGATTTCTTTTTTTATCTAAATCAGTAGCAGTCTCAAAAACATTTTATATTAGAAACGTCTTTAATATTTTATAAATTATGAAGTTTTAAGAATGTGTATGTTATCCCTGCTTAGGGATAACATACACATTCTTATATGTATATGTATGCACCCCATATATGTATTGGGGTGTTTCGGTATCATGACTAAAAGGTCACCCCAGATGTTGCATTCAGGGACCATGGCAAAAACAAAATGTCTTTAAAGCAACATCAGCATTCTATGTGTGTGTGATTGTTTTTTGGAAAATGACAATCTTCACTGATAGAAGCAGCTTACATGAATACACAACATGAATCTCAGAAGATAAAATATGATCTTGACAGATTTTCACCGCATTTTAAGTCTATGCTGGACTCTACCCAAAAATCTTAATTAGTTACTGTTGATAATAATAATAAAAATAATAATAACAATAATAAGATGCAGAACAAGCTCTTTTCAGTCAAAACCAAAAACAAAACCAAAAAAAAATCATGATAAGATAGGGTGAAGTAAGGAATGCTCTTTAGAGCCAAGCGCAGCCTCTGCCCAGCTATCTACTGCGATCCTTCTCCAATTTCCTGCTGTCTCTTTCCTCCAAAGTGGGGTATGATCTGCCCACTCTGGTGCACCCTGCTGTGGGTTTGGAGGAGAGTGTGGCAGTGAAGGAAAGGTCAACTGTGGAAACTACATAAGGAAAATTAATGATAAATCTGTTTAACTGCTAGTAATGAATTTCAAAATAAACTTCAAGCTGGAAACAAAATGTATCCGAAAATCATTTATTGTTGATGAAACGTATTTTTCAGGTATGATTTTATTTTATTTTTTTTCACTTATTTTCCAGGTTGGATTTTTTTTTCTTTTATTTACAAACTATCCTTTTCAGCTTTAAGTGTTTTTCTTTTAATCAAACTGTTTTTCAGGCATATAATTTTTCTTTTGAACAATTTTTTTTTTAAACAAAATTGACCCCAATTTAGCTCCATTGGATTTTTTTTTTCTTTTATTTACAAACTATCCTTTTCAGCTTTAAGTGTTTTTCTTTTAATCAAACTGTTTTTCAGGAATATAATTTTTCTTTTGAACAATTTTTTTTTTTTACAAAATCGACCCCAATTTAGCTCCATAGACGCGTCGCTCTCTCCCATCTATATAGCGTAGATGCGACAGCTGGAAAACTTCATAAAATTATAAATTCCGGTGCAAAAATCCACTCACCGCCAGGAATAGTTACAATAAGAGCTTCTATAACTATAATGGGGGGTTAAGTTTCGAATATTTAAAGCTTTTTCTTGATTTAAATCAAACTATTCGCGAATCTAATATAATCTAATACATTCTAAGTACGATCCATCTGTCCCTTTAACAAACTAATAACCTTTAACGTCATTGCGGTACCAACTAAATAAGGAGGGTTTTGATAAGGCAGCAGGGAATAAAGCAATAACATCAGTATTTTCATCTTTATACTCACCATCGCTCAGTAAAGTCTGGCTGATAACGATGAGGAGAGCGGAGAGAATCCAGATCATAAACATGATCATAAAATGAAAAAGACTGACCGCAAAAAATCAATTTAGGCAGATCCGACTAAAGAGGAAGGTCTGTGGAAAAACTGATGTTTACGAGTCGCATGGAGAGAAGAATAATGAAGGAAAAAAGGAAAAATGATCGAGTCGACATGAATGCGTGAATAGCCTTTGGCATTAAAATGAAAATGAAAGCAACTTACAAAGAAATAATTAGTAAATGAAGGATCTACTATTTAGTAAAACATTCAAACAGATCTCTTAATAAAATGGTTTAAATTAGTTAATATTTGTGAGATTATTATTAATATCTCAAAAAGCCAAACACTGGACAAACTCATAGCAGACTGAAAACATTTATTTCTATTGAGTTTATCTGATTGTTCTTTATGGATATTTACATAAGAGGATTAGGGCCATTGAAAAAATAATAAATAAGTTAACTGATTTTTAAATTTTATTTCAGTTTAATATGGGAAAAAAGTCAGAATTCTGAGGAAAAAAAAGTCAGAATTCTGAGAAAAAAGTCAATTCTGAGATTAAAGTCAGAATTCTGAGGGATTAAAGTCAGAATTCTGAGGGATTAAAGTCAGAATTCTGAGATTAAAGTCAGAATTCTGAGATTAAAGTCAGAATTCTGAGGAAAGAAAGTCAGAATTCTGAGATTAAAGTCAGAATTCTGAGATTAAAATCAGAATTCTGAGGAAAAAAAGTCAGAATTCTGAGATTANAATTCTGAGGAAAAAAAGTCAGAATTCTGAGATTAAAGTCAGAATTCTGAGATTAAAGTCAGAATTCTGAGAAAAAAGTCAGAATTTGCACCATTATTTTAAACTGGTTTTCCTTTTTTCCTTTACTGTTTACATGATGCACGTTAAATGGTAATGTTTATTTCTCGGTTGGAAGCTGTAAGCAACGACAAAAAAGTCTAATTAAAAGTCAAACTTAAAACTTGTCAACATACCAACTTTTTCAGGCAAAAAAATCGACACATCATAAGGAAATGTTACATAGGAACAACTCTGAACACAGTAAAACCATCTAAAATGAAGCTTCACTGATGTCGAAAGAGTTTCCAAGACGAGCTTTAAAAGAAGGTGATGAAGAAGCCTCTAATGTAGAGGTGCTGAAGTCCGATCCTCAAGCGCTACCATTCTATAACTTTTAGATGCATCTCTTCTCTAACACACCTGAATCTAAAGGCTCAATCCCCTCATTTGGTTCAGCAGAGGAATGATAATGAGCCACTCATTTGATTCAGGTGTGTTAAATATGGGGTGCATCAAAAAGTTGCAGGATAGTAGCTCTTGAGGACTGGACTTGAGCACCTCTGCTCTGATGTGTAGGGTTTGGTTTCCTACAGTATATATGCAAGTCTGAAGTTCGAATTCTGCCCCAAGAGAAAGCACCTGTCTTTATTGAAGAAGCATTAAGATAAAAGCTCTCATGTTAGCCTCCTTTCCAGCAGTTAGCTTTGTCCCAACATGGCTAAAGACACAATGTAAACAGGACGCCCTGCTCTTCTATAGAGGCCTGATATGAGGAGCGAATGACTAATAGCTCTCCTGCCTGCAGAATCATCCCAAACCCCCAAAAAAAGACAAAATTGGTGTCAAACATTTGTGCTACATTTGTGAAGCAAAAATTTGCGTTTGTGCCGCTATCATTTTAAAGGTATAAATAGATGTTTCTAGAGGTCATCAAAGGTCAACCAGTCCCCCCCCCCCTTCTTAAAATTAGACTAAATTGGTGTTAAACGTTTGTGCTACATTTGTGCTGGTTTGTGCAACAAAAACAGATGTTAACTGACCTTTGATGACCTCTACAAAATATTATTAAAATGATAGCAGTACAACTTAAAAAAAAATTGCCATATAAAATTTTTAAATTAATTTTAAATATAAAATATTTAAAATAAATTTTAAAAATGCATATTTTAAAATATATAAATTTTTTGTACTGCTATCATTTTAATATTAATAATTGCTTGTAGAAGCCTAAGGTCAGTGAACATTTGTTCATTCTGAAACTCAGAATTTTCATATAAATTATAAGTTGCTAACCAATGATTATATCATTTTAAACTGTAAATGAAAATTAGTATAGAAGATTTTTGCGGCACAAACGGGGCCGAGTCAATTGACACTACTTTTGCCTCATTTGAATAAGGTTTTGGATGACCTCTAGAAACATTTATTTATATCTTTAAAAAGATAGCGGCAGAAACGAAAATTTTTGCTGCACAAACCAGCATAAACGTAGCACTAACGTTTGACACTAATTTTGTCTGATTTGAAGAAGGTGGGGGGCAACTTCACCAAGGTAAACCGTGGATCTCTGCAGCTCCTCCAATGATGCCATGTTAATTACAAATGATCTCCTTAGCTGACCTGTCAGTTCAGGTGGACGTCCATGTGTTGGTAGCTATGCAGGTGGGTAATCATTTCTATATTGAATGCAAATATGCAGATATTAAAGCAGTCTGAGCTGTTTATCATGAGACAGAAAACAGACCTTTGTCCTCGTGTGGTGATCAGAGCAAATCATCCTCAACTTGGACCTCTGGGTTCTCAGTCTGGCTGTTCTCATGGTCCACAGGAGGTGATGGAGGTAGAAGGGATTCCTCAATCCCCAGCTCCTCAGTGGAGGAGGAAATACTTGATACAGATTTTTTAGGGAGCAGAAGCTGTTCAAATTTCCAAACATTTGAAAGCAGCTCAGGTTGTAAATGGAATCCAGGAATAAATCAAATGTCAATCTTTATTTCACAATCACTTCAAAATACAACTCAGTTCGCTGATAATAAAATACAAGTTATACAATATAATGATAAACCAAGAAAAATAAATCAGATTTACAATGAAACAAGCAAAAAAGAGAGCAGGCACATATAAATAAAAAATAAAACTAACCTCTGAAACTTGTTATAAGGATAGACTTTATTGGACAAATATTTATTATTTATTTTTAATGTAAATACAATATAGTAAAAATACTGGAAGCTGTTTGTTATAGATCTAAATAAAATATTCTCACACGTGTCGCCATATGGTTTACCCTGCTATGTATTCTGGGTAAATAATGTATGATAGATCTATAGCGTTAGCTCTGTTAAGTAATGTTATACCTCTTCAGTTTGAACCGGAGTACGTTAAAAATTATGAAAATGTAAAAAAATCACAAGAGTTCTATGAGATCAGGAGGCCTAAACAGAGGAAGATTGGAAAGTTGCCCAATGAAACTGATATTTGGATGGCTGCTGCTAGCAGATGCTAACCCAGGTGGAGAGCTATGCTACTAAGACCAACATCTCCAACTAGTTCTGGATCCCTTTAAAAAAAAAAAAAAAGATTTCAAAACAGAAAGTAACTTTGTCTGCTTAAAATGTAAACAAGTTGGTGCGATAAGAGAGGAGCGGTCACCTTTCTGCATTCTTTGTCCTCAGGATGACTAACAGAAGATGTTCAGATAAAACAGGTCTGACAGATACAGCATTAGGGGAAAAGGTTATCAAAATATTTTGAAGCATTTATAACGAAATCTAACCAAAAATGAACCAAGCACCAATGAGTTGCTGCTAAAACAGGTGAAATTTGATACAAATTCAACAGAAAAATGCTGTGGTTACAAAAGGTTGACGGAAGCAAAAGCAAAATGCTGTAAATACCAAAACGTAAAATCAAAACAGTCATCTCTAAACAAAACTAAAGCTCACCAGACCACTAGGAGTCGACCATAATGTCAGAAGGAATCAGATTTGCAGTTAAGACATTTAAGAGTCTAATCTTTTCTGTAGTTAAACAGCAACATAGGCAAGCATTAGTAATCCTAAACATTTTGACATGGTATTTTAGTCCACAATCAGGTCTAAAAATCACACAAAAAAAGTTTAGCCCAGTTTCACTGAGGTAAACATAGGATCTCTCACCGTCCATTTTATTGTTCAGGTCTAACATATTGTAATGATCTATATATTTAGAAGCCATTTAGATTGTCATAATTTGTTTATCGGTCTATTTTTTCCAGTGTTGGGTTTAAAGAGGCAAAATTTGAATTATTTAGAGCCCTTATTTAGAGCAAACACTGATGCAGCAGAGATTAATCTTTCAACTGAAGGTCTTGTAAATGATCTTATCTCACTTTGTTATGACACTTTAACACCACAGACGTCAGTTATTCCAGTAACAAATCAGAATATTATGAACATGTGGTAAACAAA